GTACTACATGCTTTCCACTTCTTTTAGTTTAAAATTCAGTAAATTTCTTCCTTTTTTTCTACACTTCCTTAGGTTGGAACATAACATTATACATGAAAGTTTCTAGCTTTTCCTAGGGGCTAATTAATTAGCATGCAGTGTTATTCTTGTTGGCAAACCAGTGGACTTGCCCATAATCTTCGCTGCCCATTGACTAATTGGTCTCTCAGGCATTGTTTTCTTGTGTCAGAAACTTAAAGGTTTATTTTCATATTTAAAACAGCATTGGGGCCCGAGAGAACAGATTTTATGCAGATTTGTACTAAGAGAGTTGGAACAACTGCTAATGAAGAACAGTTTTGAAAATAGTTGCAAACAAAGTTTACATACCATTGGATAGAACAGATTATAAACCATTTAGGTCAATGTAAAGTGAATAAAGGATAGTGAGAAGTAATTTGTGCTTTTGAGAAAAAATCATTAGATGTAACTCCTTCAGAGTAGAAGAATGAAATATAACACAAAGTTCAGAAGATACAGGAACAAACCATAGATCTGAAATTTTTTTTATAATTTCTTCAGATGTTCTTTAAATTGTTTCTGTGTTAAATTATGTTTGTTTAGAAGTTATGGCAATTTTCTCCTATAATCCTTATTAGCTTAAAAGTAATGACGTAAAAATATTCTGGGGACAAAAATCTTTATTTATTGAATATTAGTCTTAAGTTTATTTTATTCAAGTGATGCACATAAACAAATAACTTATAATTTATTGAAAACAAAGCATATTTGTTACATATGTATTGATTCTGAGGAAGAATATTACTCACAAAAGTACTGTTACCTAGCCCAACTCAACACCATTTATGAAGGTCAGTTCTTTGGTCACTGATAAATCTTGATTAATTTATGTAGTATATTTTAAATTTTATAGTTGGAAGTTAATATTTTCTAACACTGAAAATGTATTTCGGAGAGGTACTTACCTCCTCTAACCCAAAGCTATTTTGACATTCATTTGCACTCTAAGTACTGCTAAACTTTTCAATGGCACACCAGTTTTTCATACCCCTTTACTTTTGCACCAGTGCAGTAACATATGCTGATCATGTGACTACCCTCCAACAATCATACTGCACCACCTATACTAGAGGTAGAGGAGGTACAGCTGTGGGGTATAGCACTGCTTCTGCTCTTTGCCCAGTAAACAACAAAGTAAGACACATAGGGCAGAACTTAATAGACAGGCACCATGTCATGTAATACAGATACCACCCGTGGACAACAGATAGTACACAAAATGTCCACATATGTAACAAGCCTGAGAACATGACACAATCATAGTTAGATTTGAAAATGATGCCTGTAATCAAATATAAGAATATGTGGCAAGGGCTAAAGGAAGGTAAATGCATATGAATAGGCCAAGTGTGGTTCACCCAGCCTAAAATATCCAGGGAAGCACCTTGTGATATGTCAGATTATGCCAAGTGCTGTCCATACAATCAAAA